GTTTGGGTTTTTCTCTCCTGTTGAAGTTCTGAACCTCTGGTTTTTACGCTCCCAAGCTTTTCGGGGATTGCTAGCCCCACGCTTTCTGCCTCATCGCAGAAGGGAGCCTCAGATCAGATTGATCTTTGCTGATCAACCCGGCACTTAATGGTCTCCTTGCCACCAAGTGTAATACTGGCAAGCCCCTCTCCTTTTGGGCTTTGGGAAGCGTATGTTCCCATCAGACAGGTTGATCACACGCATCCCATCTCGTATCTCAGAAACACGTGTAGGTTTTAACACCCAGACTCCACTCGGTTGTGTCGTGATGCTGTCTTTCAGTGGTACCACTGAAAGGTGGTACCACTACCTTTCAGTGGTACAAATAACGTGATGAAAAATAATTTGAAAAAAAGGCAAACCCAGCATATGTTTGCATATGATTTTGATAATACAGTGAGGGGGAAGTGGGAATTTCCTCATTGCAATCCCTTGAGGAAATAAATGCGCTTCCCACATCTACTCTCCCTGACCTGAGTTACCCTGGAGTCACTCCTACGTACGTGAATCAGCGTGTGCCTTGCTGCACTGAAGTCTCCTCTGAAGATGACACAACCCACAAAGCACAGCAGCCGCCGGTGACAAGATGACTCCTATTTAATTCAATTAAGCAAAAGGCAGGATAGCTTTCTCCCTATCGCTAGCGCCGGAGTTGGTTGCACACGAGGAGGCTCTGTTGGGTCTTTAAGGCTGGCCGTGAGCCAGAAGGATGGGGCTTGTGGATGGGCTCGTTAAATACCTAAATGAACTGGAACGCCAAGAAGGGGTGCGCGAGCGAGGCGGAGGAGCAGTTGCGTGCTGCCTCGTCCCACCGATGCGCTGGAAGGAGCGGGGAAGGCGGAACCACGTACGCGTGCCCCGGCTCGCCCTCACTAAGCCGGGGCTGCCACAGGCAAATCCAAACCCTGGTCCTCAGTTGGTTAGAGCGTGGTGCTAATAACGCCAAGGTCGCGGGTTCGATCCCTGCTCACTGCAGGGGGGGGTTGGGCTCGATGATCTCTCAAGGTCCCTTCCAACCCAAAGCATTCTATGATTCTATGATTCCTCCAGCTAACGAACGCTCTGTGGGCTGTCCGTCACTGCTCACAGGCTTCGCGCCCGTTGCTGCTAACGGGTTGGCACAACGTATGTGAACAGCTGCTACCGTGAGTACTGCAGCTCTTGAAGGCAATGTATACAGCCTGCCGGCCAGCTTCACTCATTTCCCCACTCCCACAGCCCATTCTTTCAGGGCTCCTAACATCCCATCAATAAAAGCTGGTATTTCTGACTGGCTCTTAAGAACATTTGCCTCACAAATGTTTACACTACATATCCTCCTTATTCTAAGAACAAGGCTAATAACTGTTCGGTGTGTTTTGTCTGCTCTCTGGGCGAAGAGGAAGATTAGCCCTCTTTAATTTTGGCTGCTGCGGTTCATAGGCTGCCGTTTACCAACAAACTTCATAGTCTTTCCTCTACCTTCTCGATAGATAGATAGATAGATAGATAGATAGAT